GTGCAAGTTTATTATAACTCAAATGAATAGGTTTTTTTTTTATGTCTCCTGGGTTCAGTCATTTGATGAGCTTATAGCCTCTGTGGTGTGTGTGTGTGTGTGTGTGTGTGTGTGTGTGTGTGTGTGTGTGTGTGTGTGTGTGTGTGTGTGTGTGTGTGTGTGTGTTTACTTATGAGCTTGTGTGTGATTCATGTGTGCTGAAGCAGAAACACATTTTTTTTAAAGCATAGAAGAGAAGAAACCGAAAGAGAGTTTAAAAGTATTTTAATGGCATTACATTGAAGCGTCAGGAAATTTACAGTAAAATTTCAGAGAACAAAATATAATCTGTTACAATATACACATGATACATAAAAGATAAATGTAACTGTAAACTTTAATTTACAAATGAGAACATGTTGATACTCAATGGGGTTAAGCTCAGTATTTCAAATTGCTGGATATGGAACCTTGTCAATGATGTTTATTGAATAGGAGAGCAGTGTTTACTCTGTTGTGTGACTAGAATATCAAAACCCGTCACTCCATGTGAATGCAGCTGCGTTCAGGCTGACTGACTGAGCTCTCCTTGGAGGAAACCAGCAGACAACTTAGGCTTGGCCCTGAAGTTTAACTCAAACACTGTGCCAGCATTTCTTAAAATAAAAAAACCCCTCTCCTGTACCAAAACATGAAATAAAGAGAATTTTAACACAGAAAAAAAATAGCTCTAAAAGTATTTTTTTAAATCACAAAAATAGACGTTTAAGTTGAATTTGCACAGAGTTAAGACTAAGCAGCCTTTTTTTAATGGTCTACCTATAAAGGACGTGTAATTAATTAAGGCTATAAATAAAGGTGAATGACGGAAGTCACAGAAGACTGGCTAAATATATCCCAACTTTTAACAAAGACGTTTTGCCTCTTTTTCTCACCCTTTTTAATTAATTGCATGAATAAATCAGCTTCCGTTTGTACAGGTAGGTTTTTTTTTTTTTTTTTTTTTTTTTTGCCATAGTTTGAGATAAAATACGCAATCCTATTTTCTTCACAGGCTCGTTAAATATCTCTGATACCCCAGAGTCTGCGCTCCGTGCGTCATTTCGGATGTGGGCAAATTTGCAGACACTAAGGAAGCAGCGTGCTTTAACTCTGCGCAATTTCATTCACTTTCTAATCATATTGGAACCGTGAAAACATCCGCACTCCCCCAACCCCCCCTCACCCACCCGCTCCCGCACTGGACAAACAACACAAGGGTGTGAATTTGTGTTCATTTCAAAGCAGAAGAGGGGAATTAAGACAATTTAATAAAGGCTTAAATCGCTGGGCTTGTCTCTGCACAGCGCCTAAAGCCATATTTCCTCTGATCAGCGGAGGAGGGCGACTTTATTGGACATGTTTCTATTTCCAAATCCGCATAACAGGCAACGATGCATGTATTTCCTATAATGTAGATAAGGGAGAGAGGGTTTGATATGTAATAAAAGGTGGGTCTGTGCTGCCTGTTTAAGCCCCTTAAGCCTGATAAATGATGAGCGACAGAGGCACAGCAAGAGGGTCACCGCTATTAACTCCTCGGTTTCCCGGCCTCCACTTAAACTTCTCTCAATTACATCTGGTAATGTGGCTGGATACGGGCCTTATAGGCTTCGACCTGTACAATCTAACTTAAAAAAAAAAAAAGAGAAGGGGGGAAAAAAAAATCATACTCAAATCTCCACAAACGCCTGTGTGAATCGCTGTAAGGCTGTCCCTTAAGCCACGTGTTAAGGGGGAAACACAGGGATTATAGTCTGTGGCGTTACTAACACATGCACACCAGGTATTCTGGGACAAACACCCAATGCAAGCTCATTAAATCAGCATTTGGTGTATCCGCACAGGCGTTAACGACGGGCTCTAATCTCGGCGGTGACCTGCTCAAACTGTGTCACAGCCGAGCAGAGCTGAGACTCTGCAGAGAGGCTGCAGACAGAGAGGGCTGGGAGTTTTTATTTTATACCTGTTAAGAGAAACGCACTCAGCTTTGATTTGTTTAGAGGAAACAACGCAAATATTTTTTCTTACATGTGAAATAGTTTAATCGACATGAAGAAGAATTTTAAAGAAGTTATTTCCCAGCGTTAATATTTTATTAGAATTATGTTGATTACTTTGACGCGCTTTTTTTTCGAATCAATTTAATTATTTTTTGCTTTTACGTTTTAAACTTTCCCTGGGTTAGGTTTAATTTGTTTATTTTTTATTATTTTAACATGCAATAACGCGAATAAAAGCAGAAAATTAAAATCGTCCGGATAATATGAATATTAAAATAATAATAGGCCTATAAGCAGCAATGTGTGTTTTAGATATAAAGCTGCGCATAACATAGGCTGTAACTGATTTGGATTTATATGAAGCCCGACTTACATTCAAAATAAGTAGAAAAATCACATAAATTGACAAATTCAAAATAATTCCTGCACACGCAATTAAAGACAAAAGTACGACTAATAAAGGCCACGTTTTTCTAGTTTGTCTGACACAAGTCACAATCGTGTAACAGCATCAGATGTGAAGGGTGTGAACAGTTGCACCGAATTTATGGTCAAAGCTCTGCCAGCAAATGAATTAAATATTATAAGAAACAAATGCAATGGACGGTCGATTGAGACAAAACTCACTGAAACAAAATCTGCATTTTTTAAATATTCATATTTTAGATTTAGACCTACGTTTCTGTGATGTGAGAAATTAATCATTATATAGCAGACTTTTTTATTCTAATTTAAAAACACGGTTTTGATTAGTTTGTGTGTAGATCTGGTATAAAATCGAATCAATATTTATTTTAGTTTTATTTTATGGGCCTTCTCTCATTTGTTGCAAAGCTCTCGACAGCCCGGCACCCGCCGCGGCCGCCAGGTGTCGCTACATGGCCGCATATTTTCTAGCGAGCCTATGAAGGGAAAAGCCACAGTTACATTTTGTGCTGGCCTCCTCTCTCCCTCCTCCCCATACTAACCCTCTGACACCAGACTCTGAGAATCGGTGGAGGAGAAAATGAGGCTTTGGAGCTGAAGAATTTACAGTTAGTCGCGAAACTTTTACAAGTATTTGAGTTGCTCACTCCACTTTCTGAAACCCTATAGTCACATTTCACTCCGGGGTCAAAAAGAGTTCAGATTCAGATGACTGAGGTAATGCTTTCTGCAAGAGGAAAACACTGAGGGGCCAAATTATTATAAACAAATCACAAACAATATCACCTGGGGGAAAAAAAAAAAAAAAGATGTAGGCAAATGGGAAAAATCTAATGTTTGTGAAGAAGATTGAGAAATAAAAATCCGTTGCCTTCTTCAAGTTTGGAATCACGGGGTCAACGCAAAGCTGCATTACTTTTATTCAATGCAAAAAAAGTAAACTTTTAAGTGAAATGATGCATCAGCAGCTGCATTTTATTTATTTATTTTACATGGACAGGCTTTTTTTTTTACTTACTGAGCCTAGCCAGTAGTCAGTCTATGATCCAGTCTTATCTCGGCGCCTCTATACATTAGCTTAGCTGATTTACATAATCTCAAACACTGAAGAGGGCCAAAGAAGAACAAAGTTACAAACAAGATTAGGGCGATTTTATTTGTTCCTGCGGTTGAGCGCCAATTGTTTCTCCAGGAGTGTTTAAGGTCACTAAGAGGATTTGAAGCCCGTTTCATATCAGTGATCTTTTTGAGGGAATTAAATCAACAATGTATTTCTCTCCATATTTAGCAACAGGCTTGTGTGTGTGTGTGTGTGTCTGTGTGTCTGTGTGTCTGTGTGTCTGTGTGTGTGTGTGTGTGTGTGTGTGTGTGTGTGTGTGTGTGTGTGTGTGTGTGTGTGTGTGTGTGTGAAAAACCGAGCCCTGCAGGGCATGAGAGAGAGAGAGAGAGAGAGAGAGGAATTGTAAATCCTGCAAAGAGTAAACAGAGGAGTGGAAGTTCAGTGCTGGTGCTCGGTCGCATGCAGGCGGTCCTGGTGCACCTTTTAGGATGTGACATGCAGTGGATCTTTAGCTCGGTGATTGTCCCAGTAGTGTTTTCCTTGAAATGGATCCTCTTCCCCCCTAATGAATCCAAACGCAGCTGGCCATGTCCCACACGGACACCGAGAGCTTTAACCCTAAACTGACCTCAATTTGACACCACCAGATGAAATTTTACCGCCTGTTAATGCCATCCACTGATTTTTCTTTTTCTCTTTTTCATACGCCTTAGAGTTGAGCGTGCACCTGAAAAAGGGGTCGCAACGTGAAAGCCACTTGTAAGAAACATAAAACTACTTAAAAAGTGTAATTGTCTGTGATAGGTGTCCTCCTGGAATTGTCTGGCTTGTAAACGCGGTCAGGATATAAGCAGGGGAGTTTAAGTTGGCACAGGTCTTGTTTATGAGGAAAATTAATTTTAATTACCTATTGAGTGAATGATGATTAAAATAAAATTAGAAAATGAAACACCGGCTTGTGTAATGTCGCATCAGACGCTGTTATTAAGCGAAATTAACCCATTTCACAACCTATGTTGTTAATGATGATGTCTCGTGTTTATGGCTTCCATTAATTACTCAAATAAATAGTTCACAAAAGAAGTACTTTAAATTTCCACGTCGTTGGGAGTCGTTGCTGGAAGTTTTATAGGGAAGGATGTGTTTCTGTGGAGCCGTACATTGGACACGCATAATTAGCCTCTGCTATTTTCACACGCTCTTCGGGTGTTTACATCACTCTCCTCGGGGGCAAATCACATATTTTCACAATAAATGTGGAAAAATGCGGTAAAAATGACTAGATCTTGAAGTATGTATATTTAAAATTTCGCCGCGGCGCTCGGGTTTTTAGAGCACACTGTGCGCTTTAACGGCAGATTAAACATGAATATGTATTCCGCATTTTTATTTTTTTATAGTCCAGCCTCAAAACTTCCACTTTTACTGCGCCTCGAAAAGGAAGCGCGTTCACAATACAGCGGTAGAGACAGTATAAGGTTTATGCTACTTACCGTGCTTGTCCAAAGGAGGAGGATGGAGGAAAAAAAAAAAAAAGTCAAGCAGTTAGTGCACAAATCAATGTGAACGATAGTATTTAGCTTATGAAAATATCAGTCTTCAATAGCAGAGTCTGCCGGGCTGGTTGTGTTTACAGAGTGTAAGAGAGACTTGGAGACGGTGAATGCCTTGGCTCTCTGCGCACTGCTCTGCAGCTCCTTCCCGGGGTATTGCACGTTGAAATGTCCACACAGCCGTTTGTCAAACCCTGCAGTCCTACACTTCCCACCCCCCTTTATGCCAACAAACATAACTGTTGTCACGGTTTCATTTATTAAATCTTTTTCCTTAAAAAAAAACAAAAAAAAACCCTTTGCTTTTTCTGTAATCGACGCTGAGCAACTCTGCTTTGGTATTTTGTTTGTTGGGAGAGTTTATTGACCCTCCAACAGTAGCCACAGCCCATCTCCCTGAGCGTGTGTCTACCTTAATCCTAACCTGTGAATAATTAATTTCCACCATCAAAAATGTCACGGAGCCATAAATGGAGCCTTTATGTGAGAACCTGTCAATACAGCCATGATGCCATATTAGCATTGATGGAGCTAAATATTAAAGGGGATAGATGGCCTGCTTCTGTGTTGTGCGTAAAAGTGCCCAGGCTCCAAAAAGGGCTTCACTGCAATCGATGGCCGGAGCGTTGCTCCTCCTCTAAACTTCAATCTCCTCACATGATTGATGATCTTGGGGAGCTTTGATAATTGACTACTCTGAGGTAAGGCACGGATTTCTATCAAGAGAGGGGATTGGACGAAAGAAACATACAAAATTACTTTCTCCACAAAAGCTTTTTTTTTTTTTTTTCCCCCTCTTGGAAAAGTTCATTCTGGGCTTAGAGGGGTGCTGCGTATCGTTTAATTTGCTAAAAAAAAAGACCAGAGCAATAATTAGCTGTAAGATTAGGAGGTATTACTGAGATATTAGGCACACCGGCTTACAACCACAAAACAGATAACAAGTAAGCGTCATGCTCATATATTAAACTCAGCATTCATAAGATGTTCTGATCATTTTTGCTGAATATGCTTCATAATATCTTTTGTCTAACTTATACCACTGACTCTAAGGATGAATAAAATATTGTTTATCTGTGCGTAAAAGTGTGGTTGCGTCATGCGTAATTCTGTATTAAAATGAACTTTAAAAAAAAAAAAAAAACTCTAAATCACGATTGATGTAGTTTAATTCAGTCCATGTTGTGTGTAATTCAACTCAGAGGAGTTGCAGCCGAAGTGTCCGCGCATGGTAAACCTCCCTCATTCAGCCTTTTTTTTTTTCTTTAGGACTCTTCTCTGCGAAAAGGAATTGGGTGGGAGTTGGAGCTGTGTTGGTTTGGCTTTTACCCCCAGTGTGGAGTTGAAGCCGTCCCTGTGCCTCGCATATACTCTGCATATCACAAGATTTGGTCTCTCCTCTCTCTTTTCTGGAGCTGCTGTAGGACTGGCTATGGCCACCACTACTTCCGGGATCCGTCATTTCATTCGCCCACCGCTCAGCGCTGCGAACTGACTCTGTTTCTATAAGCAAGCTAGCAGCCAACCTGCCAACACTCGCTGACACTCACTCATCTCAGTTTCGCCAGATAGACGAAATACCTACGGGGGAAAGAAAGGAAAGATCTGAATCGCAGTCTCTTAATTTCTACTGCTTTTTTTCTTTTTTACAGTGATAATAAAACGAGATAGCGATCTGGAGGCATTAAAGGAGACGCGGACTTGCGGGATGAAAACGGACTAAAAAGATTCGTCCTTCTCTTGAACATCATCACCAACCGTCATTCATTCATTACCTTGACAACCTCTGGCTTTGATTGACAGCTGGAGTGGCAAAAAGCCATGAGACACGACAGTTTAGTTACATGCAGGTTGTTGATGGGCCGATTGTAACCTTCACTTTGGCGCATTTTTTTCTTTTTTTTCCGAGGAAAGAGGGAAAACAAGAAAAATTGCAAAACTCCCCGATGCTACGATTTCAACTGAACCACACTGGCGAATAGGAGAAGTCGCAAAGTTGGTTGAAAAAGGGATCTTGCCACTAAATCACTTTCTAACCGGGACTGGGATATTAAATATACGACAGATTCAGGAGTTTATTGGAGCGCAGCCTGATGGCGCAAAGGGTAGGTTTTAAATCTCCTACACTTACCTGTTCAAATCCACTGTAGGGAGGCCCCCTCGTATCGATAACCTCTTGTCGGGTGGTGGCAAATTTACAAAGTATTCATATCAAAGCCGCTATATTTGACATTTTTGCAGCGCCCCTGCTCTTCAAGCAAAGTGACAGCCTCTGCTTTTGCCGACAGCCTCCGCGACAGTCGTGGAGCAGTTTCACAGGAGACTCCAAACTAATTCGCTCTTTCCACCCACCAAACTTCTCTTTCGCGGAGCACCTCAGTTATAATGTTTTTGGTAATGACAGACCGTTTAACAGATATAATATATGACACTTTTCTGCCCTGGCTGCGGCGCATTTTCAAAGCAACAGCTTTATTTAGTGTTCTCCGTTGCGTATTCGCAATGAGACGGGCATGCCTTTTTGTGCTTTTCCACATTTGTTTAAAAAAAAAGTAACCGGGCAGTCCGCTGACTTTTGCTCTGATTTCATTCCCAGTACGATGAGCTGGCCCATTACGGTGGGATGGACGGAGTCACGGCGTCGATGTACGGGGACCCGCATGCTCCCCGGCCGCTTCCCCAGGTCCACCACCTGAACCACGGACCGCCGCTGCACGCCAGCCAGCACTACGGAGCCCACGCTCCTCATCCAAACGTTATGCCCACCAGCATGGGCTCTGCTGTCAACGACGTTTTAAAGAGGGATAAAGATCAAATTTATGGGTAAGGTTTGCATGAACCAAATACGCGTGCATATATTTTTTATTTTTTTTTTACTAAGTTTTCAGCTTTTTTCTGTGAGTTTTTGTTTTTGTTGGAGTTTCTCTCCTACCACTAAATTTAAATAGTGTTTTGTACAAGATTGACCGCAATTTTGGAGCTCCATTGTTGGTCAGGGGAGTTTTGTTGATGTGTAATTTTAGACGCATTGTAGAAGGCATCATCAAGCCTGCAGTAAGTAAGAGTAAGCCTCGAGCTTGAAACACAAGCTATAAAATAATATGGAAGCGCTCTGTTGCACAGTCCAAGCCCGAAAGTCCCAGTGTGCATGGCAATAGAATAAAAAAAACAATTTCCAACATCACAACAATTGTCCCGTGTTATAAAGTGTGCTTTAATATTCCTCCCCACTATTATTTGTCTGTCTTTAAAAAATAGTCTGGACTAGTGTTAACGTTGTCGTTGCTGCCTGCAAAAAAAAACTTCTCAAATGTTTTCAAATATTGTTTGCAGTGACACCGACACACAGAGCGCGTTACAACGCACCGTGTGTCCTTTTTATAATTGTACTTTGGTCAGTTTATGCACTAATAATGGAAGAAAGCGCATTTAGACGATCTTACCGGTGACTGCAAAACTTTAAAAATGTTTCCAGATATTTCTCACTAACACACGCACGCAGAAAGTGCTATAAATCCACAGTGTACCATTCTAATCTGGGATGTAGTGCAGAGTAAATCCTCTTCATCTCTTTTACTCACGTTTTCACATGCGGAATTGAGTTTACCTCCATTTTTTTTTTTTATTGTGACACAAAATCTAAATGGCAGAAAATAAGAAACTGCTGGTAGTTGTGTGAAGTTAACGTTTGTTCTAGAAAAGGGCATTTTTGTCTGAAATTATAATTTAGTGTGAAAAAAAATATTTAGGTGACTGTCTCGGGATGTTCAGTGAAGGGAAGTTAAAACTTTAAACCAATTTGTATTCACCTCTGCCTCACTTTTAACGCTATAGTTCTAATAAGGAATAAATAGTGAAATCCTTGGTGCCTCAGTGTGTCTGCTGTGTAACTCTGCAGAATTATTATTTCACTCTAAGTTTTTTTGCAGACTGTATAAATTCTCTAAAAATCCCACTGATCACTCTAGTGTGTGCCTGTCTTGTTTTTGTTTTTTTGTTGTTGTTTTGTTGACTTCTCAGCCGGTTTTAGTTTGCACTGCAAGAAATGTCAGTCTCAAGTCGATTAATATCACATTGAGTCTAAAATCCTCGGATTTCCCAAAACCAGAAGTAAAATATTCCAGATGCGCATTTACCCATTCTTCCAACTCAAAACAGCTCCTAGAAACGTTCATCTTTGAATTCAGATGTATTGTTTTATTTGTTGTCTTCCCTATTTTACCAAATGCGCTTGTTTTAAAGGAAGGTGTGTGAAAACTATACAGTAAAATTATCTCATCCGTCTGTGTTATATTTCCCAGTTTGCTATGAGGAAAAGTAATAATTGTAAAGGTGCAGGGAGCCGACAGATAGGCAGGTTGATTGGACATTTTTTGCAGTGGGCATTGTGGAGTCGGTGTGCTGGTTGTACTCAGGCTGTGTTTCCCTCTTGCAGTCACCCTTTATTCCCACTGCTCGCACTGGTTTTTGAGAAGTGCGAGTTGGCGACGTGTACTCCGAGGGAGCCCGGCGTAGCAGGCGGCGATGTCTGCTCATCAGACTCCTTCAATGAGGACATTGCAGTCTTTGCCAAACAGGTCAATTTCGAAATATTAAAAAAATATATATTTTGGATTGTTGTGGCTGCGTCATAAGCACATAGTTTCCCTGCCTGCTTCATATAGTCTTCTTATTGGAATAAAACTTTATCTTGATGTGATTAAAGAATAGTGTAATTCTGTGCAGAATTTCCACTTAGCACTAAAGTTGTAGTTGCATTATCAGGTTATATTTCAGGATAGAAATAGACACACATTCCGCACATTTCATGCCAAACTAACTTTGACATTTGGTGTATTATTTTAGGTCCGAGCAGAAAAACCTTTATTTTCATCAAATCCAGAGTTGGACAATTTGGTAAGCGCACACTTTGACCTCTCTGTCTCTTAATAATTGACGCTTCGGTGCGGTTATACTCTGCCTTGTGTTTTTTGGGGGGGGTTGGTGGTGGTGGTGGGGTGGTGATACTTTGGAGTGTCCGCAGCCTCACACAGTAAATATGTGAACATATGATTTAAACTTCCGCAGAGATGTCAGATCAGTTTGGAAGTGAAGCTGTGTGACCACATTGGCCGCTGTCATTGTTCAGTCTCCCCATCCAACTCACCCAGCTGACCAGTGTGCGATGGCCAATTAGATTGTGAAATGTAGCTTCCTTTTTTATTTTTATTTTTTACTGTTAAAAAATATTTTAGCTCTTGCTGGCTGCAGTGCACTCCATAGTGTCATGGCGGGCGGATTATCTAACTAGCCTGAAAAAAAGTGTAAAATAAATATATAAATATTGATCCTGTAATTATTGTGATGTGAATTGTGTTTATTTTGCTCATTTTCTTTCAGATGATACAAGCCATACAAGTATTACGGTTTCACCTCTTGGAATTAGAAAAGGTAAATATTCTAAATCTTTGTATTCTAGCCTTCTCTTATCTGCAAACGCATGACGCCACCTGCACATACAGCCTGTAGGCCTATTTTAATGTAACTGATATTATTAAACGCGCAGAGCTGTAGTTATTAGCAGATGTATGGGGGAAAATAAACCGGCATGCATTTGGAGAAAGTTTCAGGTGTTTCATTTTCATAAAAATATGCTATTTTATTTAGCCAACCATTTCTGTGACTGTTGATAAAATACGTTTGAGCCTCTTTGCTC